GGTATGGGGTAAGAGGACGCCGGAGTGAGAGCCTGTGTATGTGGCGAGAGCAGTACCGCGGGAGGGGAGGTGTGCAGCGGTACTGTGCTTTGTTAGGGTGGAAGGAGGGTTTCCTGTGAGGGACACCCCCATACTGTGGTCTGTGTGAGGGGAGGTGTGGGCTTGTCCGTCATAAAGGGATTCTATGAAGGTGGATATGTGGGGAATGGAAAAGGGAGGGGTGTCCGATAAATTAATGTGGGGTGGCATCTGGGAGGAACAGAATTAAAATTTTGAGGTGCAAGTGAGAGGAATATTAATAGAGGAAAAAGGTGATTGGGGCGGAAAGGAGAGAATGAAGGTGATGAACACGACTGGTAAAGTTTTATGGGGTGAAAACTATAATGTGGACAGTGAAAATAGAAAAACTGGAATACAGGGATGAGTATTATTCCAGTACTGGAAGCTGCCTTGATCGCATGTGCTCATTTCCCGAATGACTGGCAGGGTCAGAGAAGAACTATTTTGCATCTTTTTCACTGTTAGAAAGTAAATGAAACTCTTCTGCAGTGGTAGCTACATCAAAGTTTTCTTGTACATCAAAGCTTTGTTTGGTAGGAAGCCTTGTAACCAGTCTAGCAAAGTATTATTTACTTGGAGTTTGCTCTCTAGTGATTAACATTGTTTCTGAAGTACAAATTCTCCCCTTTCCTAATGATTAGTTAGTTTTGAATATTGGAGCTCAGTTACTGTGATAAAGTAAACTCCCCTGTTGTAGGTCTTACCTTTTAAGTATTTACTATTGTATTTGAAAAAAAAAAAGAAAACAAAAACCCAAAACCCAAGGTGTTTTGAAGACTTTCCCTAACAGTACTTTGAAGAGACACCCACAGTATTTGGCCCCAAGCCTGCCATGGGAAATGTGTGCCCAACAGCAGATCCCTACTGATCTAATTCTGACTGTGCTCAAAGCTGTGTCTGAATTCTGAGTAAGAGAAATTGTAACTGCTGTATATCACTACGAGTTAGAATTTAAATCTCCTATTCATTGTCAACATTGTTGTTCGCTATTCTCTTTGCTCCTTTGTGATGCCCAAAATTTGTTGGAAGCATTCTCTGTTGCAGTCAGCAGCTTTACCTGATTTGCAGCCCTTACCACCTAATGTTTTTCTTTTGAGCTCTCCTTTGTTGTTGTTGCGTAAAAATTTTGTTGCTGTTACGAAACAGAGTTTTGTGCTTGAGATATTGCTCAATTTTCACTTTGGGATTTACTTCGTTAGGCATATCACATGTTACTTAGAAGCATATGCTTCAATTTGTATGTTTTCACAATGATATGCGAGCTCCTTCATACCTGAGTAATTTTAAATGGTAATTGTATTTTATTTGTAAAGAAAAACATGTAACTGTATATACAAATATGTGTGAATTTAAGTTTGTTGCCCAACATACTAACTCTAGGGCTGTTTCTTCATGAGTCTGTGCTACTAACCATCACTTGTGTAAGTTAGGAGCCGGTTCCTGTTTCAGTGTAAAGTTAAATACGTACATAAAGACTTGTGTAATGGTGATGTAGGTTGGGGGCTTATTTTATTCTCCTGCATTCTTTGTTTTTCCCGTTTTATAAGTCAGTAAGCATTGTGATTCTTGACTTAGTTTCCCTCCTCCCCAGTGATAAGTAATAAATAAGTACTATTTATATTATATGATTTTTTTTTCTTGATGGATATAATTTTATAGGTTGATGGTAACCTATATGTATGTTAGGAAAAGGAATAAAATAATAATTGAGGTATCTTTATATCTTTACTCACCTTTGAAAATGTAAGACCTGCTAATGATGGATGGTGGTAGTGAGGAAGTATGGAATATTAATTAGTGCTAATTCTGGTTCATGCATGGGTTTTTGGGAGGGGTGTTTTTTGGGGGTTGTTTTTTTTGTTTATTTGTTAAACGGTTTCAATTTTGCTTTGTAGAACCAAGTAAGTTTTCACAAACACTGAACGGAGTTCCTTCTTCAAACACAGTCAGCAGTGGAATGGACCCCTTCCATGCTTGTAGTATTCTTCAACAGCTTAAAACCATGTATGATGAAGGACAACTGACAGATATCGTAGTGGAAGTGGATCATGGCAAAACATTCTCCTGTCATAGGAATGTTCTTGCTGCAATCAGTCCTTATTTCAGGTACGATAGTCTATTGTTCTGGCGGTGATCAAAAGCAGAATTATAGCTTATTTTCATTAAATGAAAATTAAAAAAATCTCACCTATACTAATATTCCGTGTGACTGTCGATAATATAGTGCACCTAGTAAGTAAAGGTTATTGTTCTCTTAAAGTCAATGAATCATCAGTGTCTGTTTATCAAAGGAGAGTTTCATTGGAGAAAATGTCACGTGATTTTAAAAAAAACTAGACAAAACAAACAGAAATACCTCCAGTATTCAATGTATCTTGGATACAGTAACTGCATATTTAAACTACTTGTTTCCTTTTAAAGTTATATATTCTAGCGTGCTAGAATGTGCATATGAAATAACATGTTGAAAGTCCAGTGCAAAGACTTGGATACTTCAAGAGCTTTGCTTGTAAATTGAGTGAATTTTAATATGGGGTTAGTGAGATAATTAAGCAAGAAATTCCAGCTTGCCACTTTTGTTTCAGTAAGTCTAGAACTGATCTTAAATTTAGGTACCCAAACAGGACAATGTAACATCAGTGATAAATGTATTTTTGCTGATATAAGGGCAAACATGTTGGGATTAGCTGTACAATATAATTTCTTATACCTGCAGTTAGAAGGTAATTACAAATAAACTGCTAAATATTTTTCTTTTGTAGATCTATGTTCACTAGCGGCCTTACAGAGAGTACCCAGAAAGAAGTTCGTATAGTTGGTGTTGAAGCAGAGTCAATGCATTTAGTATTGAACTATGCATATACCTCCAGAGTAATGCTGACAGAGGCCAACGTTCAAGCTTTGTTCACTGCAGCTAGTATCTTCCAGATCCCTTCCATACAAGACCAGTGTGCTAAATATATGATCAGTCATTTGGACCCACAGAACTCCATTGGAGTGTTTATCTTTGCTGATCACTATGGTCATCAGGAACTCAAAGACAGATCACAAGACTACATTCGTAAAAAGTTTCTGAGTGTCACCAAAGAGCAAGAATTTCTTCAGTTGAGAAAAGACCAACTGATAAGTATACTCGACAGTGATGATTTAAATGTAGACAAAGAAGAACATGTTTATGACAGCATTATAAGGTGGTTTGAGCATGAACAAAATAAGAGAGAAGTGCACCTTCCAGAAATATTTGCCAAATGCATCCGTATGCCTCTGTTGGAAGAGACATTTTTAGAGAAAATCCCTCCCATGTTTGCACAGGCTATGGCCAAAAGCTGTGTACAAAAGGGACAACATAGTGCCAATGGCTATACACAACGTCTTGGAATGACCGCTTCTGAAATGATCATATGCTTTGATGCTGCCCACAAACACTCAGGAAAGAAGCAAACAGTGCCTTGTTTAGATTCGGTCACAGGGAGAGTGTTTAAACTATGCAAGCCACCAAATGACTTGAGGGAGGTTGGAATTCTTGTATCTCCTGATAATGATATTTATATTGCGGGTGGTTACAGACCAAGCAGCAGCGAGGTCTCCATTGACCACAGAGCAGAGAGTGATTTTTGGATGTATGATCACTCTGGCAATAGGTGGATTCCGAAAGCTCCTTTGTTGCGAGCCAGAATAGGCTGCAAGTTGGTTCATTGCTGTGGTAAACTATATGCAATAGGTGGTCGCGTTTATGAAGGAGATGGGCGGAACTCACTCAAGTCTGTGGAGTGTTATGACAGCCGAGAGAACTGTTGGACAGCTGTCTGTCCAATGCCAGTAGCAATGGAGTTTCATAGTGCTGTGGAATATAAGGATAACATCTATGTTTTACAGGGTAAGGTGGTTTGACTGACTATATGGTGTTTTATTGGAAGCGGGGGTTGTTAATCCAAGTGTCTGTGCTCTCTCGAGCATCTTAGAAAACCCAAGTTTCCTGGATGTTTAAGGAGCGCCCTGTGACAATGGGGTGGGAGGAAAGCCAGGGAGAGCGGTGGGCGAGGTTGCTGGTTGAGTTCTCGTGCCCTGGGATTGTGTCACTAAGTTCTAGTATTTGATTATTGCACACATGGCAGTTTTGGTGGTGATCTAAGTCAACAGTATAGTATGAAATTTTACTGTGGAAATTCTTTATTAAATTTTCTTTATATGGGTGAAATGCACCAATGTTGAAGAAATGTCCTCTGAAAAAGCACTTCACATTTTATTTAGCTATACCTGTAAAAATTCTTGGTGTCTGTATTTTTGGTGACTTGTAAAAGTCAATTAACCACTGTAGGCCTCCGTTTCCTGCCCTACTCTGCTTTTTGAAATCGTCCTGGTAGCTAAGAAAGACGATTTATCTCTTTCTAGTTAGCTTTGTTTCTTTGGGCAGTAATTATAGTACTGCTTTTACATCCTTTCTTTTGGTAAATGATCAGACTTATCGGTGTATTAGATATTGATTCTTAAATGAATAGAAAGGATTGTTATGGGAATTGATCAAATAACTTATTCCTCCCGTTATTTATGCAGATCTTATATAAAATATGTATTTTTATGTATGCATGAGCTGTATAGAATATCTACTTGTATGTGTGCGTGAGCCATATAGCAGTCTACACTTAAAAGTGCTGAGACAGATCTATGAGGCTGTAGTAACAGTCCCAAGAACTGGAAAGAAAGGAGGAGGGTGTGTCTTGGTTATGTTTTGCTAAGGGCCACCTCTGTAACTACCTGCAGAAGTTGGGGGCTTAGATCCATACCAGCTCCCTCTTTGGGTCACTCTCCGTACAAAGCTGGACCACAGGAAAGAAATGGGATGGAGAATACTGTAAGGTCGTTGTTATTTTCTTGACTTTTCATTCCTGCCGGTTGGTAAGGTTGGTGGGCTTCCACATGATTTGCAGAGAGTTTTCTTCTTTCATTGTTTCTCTATCAGGTTTAACTCTTCTTGGTTGTGGCTCTAAATAATTCTGTTACACTAGCAAGTTCTCTCCATTTGTCTCTTCTGTTGGGTCAGACATCTGCTTTAGATGGTTAAAAAGAAATGCTGAAGAATATTTAACTTGGTAGAGTATTTGTTCATGTTTTAAATGTTTCTTAGAACTGCTAAAAAGTGGATATTATTGTAATCAATAGAATAAGAGTGCATCTTGTTAACAAATTTTAGATGCACTTATTCTGTGCTTCAGTGGTTTAAATGACAACTCAGTGCTTGCATAAAGAAGCAAGATACTTCACTGTGCTAACCCAAATTACAAAGATTCATGTTACGGGAAATCGGCAACTTTTTTTTGTGTGATAAAACCTTGATTGAGTTGCACTGAAGTAGTATAAAAAAGTTAACTTTCAATAATTTTTCTAGAGAAAGCTCCTAAGTTTGAAGTGGTCAATAGGGGTTGATGAGAATGTTAAAATGCCAACGGAATGCAAGCGTCATCCATAGGAGATTGCACTGTGGAACAAAAATGAATAATCAAAAAATGTGTTATCTGCAAGACTTAATCTCTTAAGCTATGTTCCACCCATCTTACTGTATTATTTCTGTATTCTTTGTTATAGTTGAGGTGCTCGGTTACACAGCAGCTTGGTTAAAATTCTTAAAGTAGCCATGTGAAATTATATATGATTTGAATTATGCTAATATGTTAGGCCTTTCTTCCTCCCTGGCTTTACAAAAGAAAAGGTCTTTATCCATGTTCTCTTCGTGAAGTTTGCAGAGCATGAGATTTAGTGACCTGAACTTTCATTGTCTACTCTGTAGATGCTACTCTGCACAGTCAACAGAAGAGGTGTTTTATAATCTAATCGCAAAACTGATGATGAATCAGTAGCTTCATGCAAGTATTCACCTGGCGTCCGTTTAAGCAAATCAACCTGAATGTGTAACCCAGCCACCTGATACAATTGGCTTCAAAATCTGTGTGTAGTACAAGACACAATTATTTGCTCAGATTTAACAACTTTCAAGCACTGAATTCTGAGATGCCATGGTCTGTAGATGACATGTTGTGAAGATGTTAAAGAACGAAACAAATACTTCAGATATTTCAAGACTGGGATCTTGAAAGGTTTTGTCCCAAATTATTAATCATGGTTTAGAAGTAGTAAAGGATAGCTAGGAAATATGTAAACCACTGTATTTCTGATAGGCTTCAAATTCCCTCTTCTTCAGCTGGAATAGAAACTCAAAGTAGTTTTTACTCATGCTGTTAATATTTTTGTAAGGCACTTGGAAGAAGGCAGGCGGTGGTGCTAGGTTTTTTGTTATGGGATCAAGGCTTTTAAAAATTGGTAGACTGTTTCTGTCTGTGGAAGAACATACCTGAAAGCTTAGTAGCTGCAGAATTGCTGTTCTGGAAATGAAGCATAAGTTATGTTTTATTTTTCCTCTCTCTTTTCAGGGGAATTTTTTCTCTGCTATGATCCTCAGAAGGATTACTGGGGATTTTTGACCCCAATGACTGTGCCTAGAATCCAAGGCTTGGCAACTGTATACAATGACTCCATCTACTACATAGCTGGAACCTGTGGAAACCATCAACGTATGTTTACCGTAGAGGCCTATGACATTGAACAAAATAAGTGGACTCGAAAAAAAGACTTCCCCTGTGATCAGTCCATTAATCCGTATATAAAACTTGTACTCCTCAAAAATAAACTCCATCTGTTTGTCAGAGCTACTCAAGTCACTGTTGAAGAACACGTTTTCAGAACCAGCAGGAAGAATTCACTCTACCAGTATGATGAGGTTACTGACAATTGGCAAAAAGTGTATGAGACTCCAGATAGGCTCTGGGATTTAGGCCGGCATTTTGAATGTGTTGTTGCTAAATTGTATCCACAGTGTCTTCAGAAAGTTATTTAATTTTTTTTTTTTTCAGTAACAGGCCTTAGTGATTTCAGTGGTAATTTGATGCTAGAGAAAATGTGTCTTAAAAGAAAACAAAGAAATTCTGTCAGTATTTATTGTAAGCTGAAACAGACAGTTTTTTGTACATGGGGATGGGTGCTCTTTAAAGGTTGCAGTCTGGGGAGGGAATTACTGGTTCAGTTTCATATTTACTGATATTTTCCTGGGAAATGAGAAGGAGGTTACAAAGTGCAATTATCAGCATTTTTTTTCTGGTAAACACTTAATCATGTCATACTAGAGGGGTGTTTTTGTGGTAAGAGCAAATTAAGTGGAAGAGCCAGGATTACTATGCACTACAGTGAAAGAAAATCTAGCATTAATAGCTAAGGATGTTCAAGATGTTTTGAAGTGACTTTACTTTTTTCTCTTTTTTTTTTTAAATACGGGTAAAATTTGAGGCAATATCACTAAGTTTTGGGGTTTTTCTTTATTTTGATTGAAAGTACATAGAGGAATGGTAGATCCTGATTCATAATGATCTTGTGCTGTTTTTGAAGTCTGCTAAGGTGTTTGTGATGTTGTTTGTGCACTACAATTTGGGAGAAAAACTCAAGTCAGAATTGTAACATGGAATACCTTTGCCTTGGACGGAGGCCTGTTCAGATTACTGTACCACTTCCTGTCTGTGGATTTTTGTTAAAATTAAGCTTAATGATACAGGGAGGGGAAAAATCCCAGCACCTGTTTTCTGCCACATAGATGTAGTGCTGTAAAAACAAATTTTTTTTTTTAACACTGCTTAAAACCTTTTTTTTTTTTTTTCATCCCATAAAGGGCTTTAACCCAAAAGTTGATGGTGCTAGTACGTTTTTAATACTTGTTTGTCTGAAATGGGCTAGCCTTATGCTACTGTTTAAGACAGCCTGTTATTTTTCATGGAGTGTGTGTCTGTCTTCAGGCCCTGTCCTGTCATCATATTGTCTTTTTTAACATAACATTTTTACTGCAGTGGTATTCTTGCACAGAATGGTGACAGGATATGGCCTTAATAATATTGATTTTTTTTTTTTTTCTTTTTGTGTGGAGTGTTCATTCTGTCTCCACTAAAGTACAGTGCTATGTGCAGACTTGGCATGTGCTCCAGTAATTTGGAAAAGCGTGGCTTAACTTTACAAGTTGTTTTTCTTTTTTCCCCACAATCAAGCCCTCAAATACCTTCTATTTCATTCTGATCTATAATGTGAAAATTTGCACTACTGAGCTGTCTTCATTATCCGGTGTATTAAAGCAAAATTGACAGTGAGTGTCCGTGGCTTAAATAATCTTAGATGCAAATATAGACTAGGGATCCAATATATTGCAACACTTTTCTCTATGTATTTAACATTTAGTTTATTTTTAAGAAGTAAATAAGTTTGAAGTTCAGCCTCTACTTCAGTAGCGAAAACTGGATTTAAAAGGGAAAAAGATGAATCCTAAAACTCCTATCAGCTGTAATTTGCCAGATTTAATTTGTTACAGCTCTAATTTTTGCCGAGCTGCGAGTATGTTATCTTACTCTTTGCTGTTTTCTCAAATTCACCTAAGTAAACCAGTTAAATTGAAATAGCAGTGGCCATCACTGGCTGTAAGTGCTTACCATTATCTGGCTTAACAGCTGATATTTCAGTAAGCCAAATATTTAGCTCATTGTTTATCCCCCTGGCATGGCTGAGGATTTGGATAATGTTTGTTTACTATGTGGTCTTACTGTTCCCAAATGGAATCTTTCTAATACATGAAAATACTTGCCTGGTTCTATTTTTTAATTCTTGCACAAAATATCTAAAAGGCAAAAACAAACAAAAAACTGTGAAATTTAAAGGAAAAAAAAAAAGCCTCTTTGCATTACATACCTCATCTTCCAGAGATTCACCAAACCGCTTCTTTCAAATGTGAGCGCCTGAATTTTTTTTTCTGAAGTTGACAATTCTTGCTGAGACTGCATTTTCCAACGGTGTTGAGGTGTGTTGTTTCTTTGTTTAGTTTTCTTCTGGATACTGTTTTATATATATCCATAGCTGAGAATAAGAGGGTTTTTTTAAAAATACAACTAATTTAATTTTAAAAATTATCCTTGGTCCTTGGCTAGCTCTCTTTGCGCTGTTGTAGGCCTCTAGCTGCAAGCTTTCTGAAGCACCCTCCCTAACAGTGTTGCATTTGTATGTAAAACCATTTTTTTTTTTTGCAAAGTGTTATGTAACTTTTTTCTTGTTTTGTTTTGTTTTTTTTTTTTTTTAAGCTTGGTTGAATATTTACAAGACTTCTTGCTGCTTTTTGACAATCTTCTATATTTATTTAGTAGAACAAATTTCAATATATTACTTGAAACTATGAAATAGAATTGAGTTAGCAATTGACTGGTCATGTGATGTATAGAAGTACAATATGCTGTGGTTAATTCTGCAGTAGGTTTGTTAATTTTGTTTATCTGCACTAAAGTACGAAGATCTCCATTCTGTTTAACCATTCAAACTGAGGGTGTGATCCAAGTCTGTAATGTGTTTAAAAGCTAAATCCTGGAACTTGCCGTGGGAGTAGAATATACTAATTCTTGTGCATGAGGAGTTTGTTGAGACAGTAATGTAGCTGTGACATTTTGCCAATTCTTAAATGCTTCTACGTTTTGCTGAAAGTCAGATTCCTGATAAAGTTTTGCTTTAGAGTCAGGCTTAAGTAAACTTGCACAGCACAAAAAAAAAAAAAGCACCAAAGGTACTGGTAATATTTAAACGGTAATCTGTACATTTTCCCCACTTGGTATTTTTTCTGCATTCATTTATTTCCCTTTATTAAATGAATTTCTAGCATTGTAAGGACTTATGTGAGTGTAAATCTCTCTTTCCAAAATTATTAGTTACTTTAGAAGGAAATGTTTTGTAATTTCCACTTGATTCCATCAGTAACATTTAGAATAACTAAAAGCAGTTTTGGTGCACCAAACATGCAGTGTGTGTATGTTCTACAAGAAATCGAAGAGCTCCCTGTTCGTAAGGCTGTTTAGAAATGGCATCCAACATTCAGTGCTCAGGTATGTTAGTAAGAAGTACTGTAGTCCTCTGAGGGCAAATGTGTGGATTTTTAAACATTTTGCCATAATTGCACAATTTTGCATTTTTACTTAATGTCATGTTATGTTTCTTAAAATAAACCTATTGTTGAAATACAGTGGAGTTCAACTGGTTTTGTGATAAATCTCTTGTGTGCATTTTAGTAAAGTAAATTTCTGAAAATTAACCCAATGACATAATTTTTTGATGCTTGATCAGTTTTTCTGTATCTGCACTTGTGTGTCTCAACTGTATGCGATGTCACGTGTTTGTTGTTTATTTTTTGAGGCAGCACTACACTGTTGCTTGATGTGGCAGGTGCTTTCTTCTGCTTTTTTCTCTCGTTCCTTGTGGTTCTTCAGGTCTAACTTCTTATTTGCTTACACACAGGTGACATTGTCTTTCCCCCCTCCCTGACTGTGGCTGGAGCTGACATCTCAGCGGGAATGTCAAGTAGGGCTTTCTAGTCTGATAATATTGGACATAGGAAAACCCTGAAAGGCTTCATACTGAATGTCCCAGCATCCTTACTTAGTAGGGAAGTTACTTCCCAGGTGGTAAAAGAGATGGAGAGAGCACAGTGATGTTGGTTGCAAAGGAATCTGCTGCAGAGCTGAGAATGAGAGGCCTCCCTTTCCCTAGCTGTTTAACCAAAACTCCAGCATGATATGTGGTTTCTGATGTAGTGATGGTGCTTAGTGCACCTGCTTGTAAAGTATACTTCTTACTAGAGAACCTTTGTTCCCTTTCAGAGACTGTCTACCCACTTTAGCGGTGATGCCAAGTCATCACAGCCAAGGAAAATAACATGAAGTTCTCTTGTTTGGGAAGGCACTCCTATTGTCAGGTTCTTTCAGACGTTATTTCCACCCTCCCACCCCCTCAGCCCCTCACCCCCAGCCTGTAGACTTGTCTGGGTGTGATGTGAAGGCTGTTCTCCTGGCAGTTTGGTTACAGCAGAAACCATTCAGGAGTCTGGGCGAGTGGTGGTTGTGTGTGTTCACGTTGTGTGTGCCCTGTGTGATCAGAAAGGCAGACTGGGTTGGCTGCCTCGGCTGTCAGGGCAGCAGGCTGACGTGGCAGACTGCTTGTGAGCTGTGCAGTGTGGTACCCACCTCTCTGGAGACTGCTGCATGATGCTGCTAACCTTGGGTGAGTTTGTGCTGACTGATCCACGCTCCTGGTCACCAGTTCAGAATGGTACGCTCCCTCCAGTCAGACTGAATAGCAGCCTGCAGCTCTCCAGTTGCAATGCCCCAGAGTCCCAGCTGCTTTGTATAATCACTGGTTTATTTTGTGTGACCACGGCATTGTTCCTCATATAGTTGAGCTCCGTTCCTCCAACTATGACAACATGTCCCGGACAATCCTGATATCTTTTCTGTTTGCAGCCTTCATGGGAAGACCTCCAGAGATACTAGCCAGCAGAGCAAAGGCACTGTGTGCCTTCCTGCGTTCCTGTCCGGATCTGCAGTTGCTCTGTTAAAAACCAGGGATGAGTCCCCTTGAAGACGTAGCAGACAAAGTGATGAAGCCAGCACAGAGGAGGTAGGCTTGCTGTTTAACTTGTTTTAGTGGACTGAATAAATCAACAACACACACTAAACTATATGCAACTCCGTGCTTGCTTCCACATCTGAAGACTCAGCTGGGGCCATGAAATGCTAATGGCAGCTGTTAGGCAGACAGGTCTAACTAGATTTGGCGGTATTTCACGCTGTCTCTGCAGTTTCCTAAATAAAATAGTGACTGAGGGTCCAATTTGTCCATCCCCAGCATGGAGTTTGCAGTTGTAGTTACCAAATACTTGAATGGTAAAAGCATCCAAACCTGAGTCTCCCTGTCTGCTCTCTCCTTTGTTTGGAGCACCTTTGCTTTGTCCAAAACTCAGAGACCTTATAAAGAAAGATCCTCTAGTGCCAC